TTTAAAGGTAATTTTGTACGTGGCCAAAATAACTCAAAATACTGTAACTGAGCCCCATTAAAGATTGGTGTATCATATATAATGTGTGATAAGGCATTAAGCTAAAAATCCCATAGCACTCAAGAAGCGATCTCTCCCTTGTATCGTAATACTGCTAGAGCGTTTTTAATTGAGTCTCGTAAAACCAAAAACAAACTAATTACTTATCAATTAGACAACTCAGCAAATCTCAAGCCGTAATAAAACCAAAACTAGACCCACGATAATTGCCTAATTACTTTCGACACTCAGTTGAAAACTACTATATCTTAAATCTTTATTTGTCTTATTAACTGCGATAAAGTTCTTTAAGTATTAACCAAAGATTTGTAGATTAGTGGCTATGTTAGTCTCCTTCTTAGCTCGGAGTACCAAAATGGCGGCTGTAAAACTGTACAAACATAAATACATCCTACCATAAACAGCATTCACCTTCACTACCATACAGTTTAGTGTGAGGGGAGAATTTGCCGATATTCATGACCATAAAAAAGCCAACAGTTAGCAGTCAAGTAAAAGTCCAATGACCATGGTAACCACCTGTCTATCTGTATCATCGTGTAACACCTTGTAGTAAGAACTACCTGAAGTTGTAAGTAGTTAATATTTACGAGAAGAATAACTGACTGCCTATGATGGAATAGCCTAGAACAACAATGAGCTCATTGGCAGCCAATAGGGGTTTAGGTTTGCTAAACGAAATATTAGAGCACTTGTTTAGAGTCTAGCATAAATACAGGTGTTTTGTAAATTGTTCTTCGGTTACGCTCCCGGTGTTGGGATGCCGGATACCACTTTCCCGCATTGGTTATGTTTTACGTTCTGAGTACGTTACTGGATTAAACTCTTCTGTTGGACCCAAGTAACTGTGTATTCTCTATCTTCCCTTTGGATTGTTTTGCTGTAACAGATCCCGAGTCCTCTAGGAGTCTGACAAACTCCGTCGCTGCAAGCGTGTTTCCCTCTGGACTGTTGTAACAAGGATAACAACTTAAGCGGCCCAAAAACCTGTTATCACATTAGGTATTAAGGTAGGTAAAGTCTGCATGCGAGCCAAGTGGCCCATCAGGCCGGAGCTTATCCCGGTTTCTGTAGCA